AAAAAAAAAAAAAAAAAAAAAAAAAAAAAAAAAAAAAAAAAAACAACAACAACGCATTGAGTACTTCAGCTTTTTCCACATCGTCACAAGGTTGTCTCTCCCATTCAGTAAAAGTCCCACACTTTCCTTGACCACCTTCTTGTTGCTAACATACCTGTAGAAACCTTTCTTGTTACCCTTCACATCCCTTGCTAGCTGCAACTCCAATTGTGCTTTGGCCTTCCTGATTACACCCCTGCATGCTCGAGCAATATTTTTATACTCCTCCCTAGCCATGTGTCAAAGTTTCCACTTCTTGTAAGCTTCCTTTTTGTGTTTAAGCTCACCAAAGATTTCTCTGTTAAGTCAAGCTGGTCACCTGCCATATTTGCTATTCTTTCTGCACATCAGGATGGTTTATTCCTGCGCCCTCAATAAGAATTCTTTATAATACAGCCAGCTCTCCTGGACTCTTTTCCCCCTCATATTAGCCTCCCAGGGGATCCTGCCCATCAGTTTTTCTGAAGTCCAGGGTCCGTATGCTGCTGCTCTCCTTTCTTCCTTTTGTCAAGATCCTGAACTCGACCATCTCATGGTCACTGCTGCCCAGTGACCCACTTCTACTTCCACCCACTTCTACTTCCCCTACCAATTCTTCCCTGTTTGTGAGCAGCAGATCAAGAGGAGCATGGCCCCTAGCTGGTTCTTCTGGCACTTGCACTAGGAAATTGTCCCCAACACTCTCCAAACACTTCCTGGATTGTCTGGATTGCATAACATAAGTTTCCTGCACTCTCTATGTATAACAGCCTCAGTGTCCCTGACGAAGGCAGAGCTTGCTCAGTAAGTTTGTGTAGCTTGTTCCAAGATACCTTAAGAAACTCGAGTTGACAGCAATCAGGCGTATTTTTAAATCCTTTATTTTGGAAAAAGCCTGTGAGATGCAGAGTAAAAGTAGGCCCTAAAAATATGCCTGCAAAGTCTGAGGCATCAGAAACACAACCTCTCCCTTGTCCCTCCATTAGCTACTCAAGTGAATTCAAAGGTGCTCCAAGCTCCTTAAGCCTGGCCCTGCGATTGAGGCAATGACTGACTATGGGAGTACACACTTACTCCGGGGGGGAATTCTGCACCACTGCACATGCTCCCAATTCATGTCGCCTGCAGATTTTTTTTCCTCCACAGAAAATACTTTCTGCCGGAGAGGCACTGCAGTTATGCCTTTTGGCCGCCAGGGGCTGCCGTGGCACCAGAACAGCAGATGGCTCACTGTAGCAGCCAATGGAGAGGAGAAGAGGCTGCGTTCCTTACAGTGCCCTGCCTGGGGGGGAGGAGGGGGCAGGTGAAGAGACATGGGGGGGACACAGAATGGGGCACATAGGGCTGCTGGGGGGGTCACAGACTGGGGTTCAGAAGGATGCGAGTGGGGGTGCCTGGGGAAGGGGAGTGTCTGACTGAATGGGAGAGGCTAGAGGCCAGCCAGGGTCTGCATGGGGGAGGCTCCCCCACAACCCTTCCTCCCCCTCAAAAAAGAGTTCCATATTTCTCCCTTTCATACCCAACCTCCCTCCAGGTTCACTCCCAGGCTCCTTCCCAGCAGTTACTTCCCTCTCCCTCAGCTCCTCTGTTACCCCTGACTCCCCCAAGCCTTTGCACTGCTTCTGAGGGGTGCGGGCAATACGGTTCTGTATTGTAGTTTAAAGGAATTGTGACTCAAAGTTCTGTATTAATATGCCTAGTAAGGATCTATTTGTCAAAAACATTTCCTGAATCTTTTTTGTTGTCTGTATTGTTACAGACAAACTTGCTGACTAGTATTTTGAAATAAATTACCAAAATAATTGAAACTGGCGTGATTATATTGTTTCAGAGGGATAGCGGTGTTTGTATCAGTGAAAACAATGAGGAGTCCTTGTGGCACCTTATAGACTAACAAATGTATTTGGGCATAAGCTTTTGTGGGAATATAACCCACTTCATCAGATGAATGGAGTGGAAAATACAGTAGGCAGGTATAAATATACAGCACATGAAAAGATGGGAGTTGCCTTACCAAGTGGGGGGGGGGGTCAGTGCTAACGAGGCCAATTCAATTAGGGTGGATGTGGCCCATTCTCAGCAGTTGACAAGAAGGGGTGAATATCAACAGAGGGGAAATTACTTTTTGTAGTGCTAATTCAACCAAAGTGGGCGTGGATTATATTGTGTTATTTTGACAAATAAAATGTGCAGAATTAAAAAAAAAATATTGTGTGCAGAATTTAATTTTTTTGGTGCAGTATTCCCCCAGGAGTAACAAATGTAATGCCACCAGGAAGGTCAGGCCAATTAGGGATCTCCCATTGTCCCTTGCCTTCATCTGAAGCTGCTATTCTCACTCATCAACCCCAATGCATTTCTCATGCCACCAAACCAGCTGTACTGCAGAAGGGTAGTCGATCTACCCTTCTCACCACCACACTGCTTCAGGTTTACATAAAGGTTTTATTTCACATTCCAGAAATCTCTCGAAATTAGCCAAAATCTGCCCAACAGTTACTTTCAGTCTTAGCCCTTTGATACACTTCCATGTGTAGCTTTGATACTAGTAAAGCAACATGTACACTTTTGCTCACCAGCTGCCCCTTTTGCTCTTTGATAATCAACAGAGAAAGAAATGCAATGAATTCCACAATTTCTTATCCACACAAGTAAGCGGGAGGAATACTTACCAATATTGAGAAAGACAAACTTGGCCAACAGCGCAGGAAAGAGACGTATAAGGAATGGTACGGAAACATAAATAACGAAGAGATGCAGGATTAGGGTTCTGAATAACCAGGATGACCTCCTCCTGTAAGACAAATAAGTCCCAGTAATATACATTACTTTACGAAAATATTTAGAGTTAGTTTAGGTTTAGGTGTCTTTACATCGGACTTGTGGGGAGGAGGGGTTGGGTCAAGTCTCTAGCTTATGGACATGATTAAAAAGGGGACCTAGAGTTTTGCAGGGGTGGGTTTTCTTCCGCAGCAGAGGGCAAGTTAAGATTCTTGCAAAAGCTATTTCCCTGTCAGGCAGTACAGACCTAAGACCACCAATTGCTAGGTTTGCTGTTGTACTGCTCAGCAGTGCCGCTGCTTGCAGAGACTCAAATTAACCCTGTCTTTTGTATTCCATGCAAAGTCTGGAAAATGATCCTCAGGTACTTCAAGAGGCGCACGAACAAGCTGAAGCACTTCTTCGGTGTACAGAAGGCAGCATGTGCAAAGGGATTTCCGTATTCCCATCACTGATGCTCAACAGCCTGTTCAATCCTTCTAAAGCCTTCTTTCATGAGGCAAGAGAGGCAATTAGCCAAGTCCAGATTAGTGCGCCAGTGGGTAGCTTCAGGAGTGGCTTGATGTAAATCGGAGATGCCACTGGCAAGTGATCAAAGCGGACACTGACTTTCAGTGTGGTCCACAGTTTGCAAGGGGTGTCCACAGTCACACAGAGATGACAGCAGCTGCCACGCAACATTCTAAAAGTGGTTCAGTGCGGACGATTGTCTCCAGGGTACATTGAAGCATGGACGTTCCTTTGTGGGGTTGCCAATCAGGTGTTTGGGACATAAGCATTGTCCCAGAATTTTTTCCAGTGGGCCTCAGGATTGAATGAAGGCACTTTAAGAACTTTAGCCGGATCCCAAAAAAGCCAGTGAGATTTCAGGCATGCCTTCGGCAGGGTCTGGAAGTCTTCATGAATTGGTAAGCTCAGGTTGGCCATGGTTCAGTTGTGTGTCTCTCTCCCTGGATTGGAGGGGTGGGGGCGGAAGAGTATGTGCACTAGAGCGTGCATCCATTGAATGGGGTTGATTTTAATGTTCCCATTAGGATTCTAATCGTGACATTAAACTGCATGTCCAGAGATTTGGTACATGAGCTTCCCACCCAGACTGGTAGACAATATTCAGAGGCGGAGTATACCAGGGACAGACTTGCTGTTCAGAGTGTGTGCACATCAGTGTCCCATGCTGTGCCTAAGTTTTCAGACCTGGCTAGTCCTCGCTTTTACCTTTTTACACATCTTTTCCGGCAGGGCTTTAGAAGTCAAGTTTCTAAACCTCGATATTAAGTAACATACAATTATCTCCACTGCACACGCTACTCAGTTTTCAAGTCTTATTGCTTTCCAGGAGGCAAGATGCAATAAGTATTTGCTGTTTGAGATAGTTGGGCTAACCTACGTTTTTCCGCCCCACCATGCTGTGGGAGGACAAATCTTAATTAAATGCTACTTGATTCATTGAGGCTCATGCGTATCCTTCAAAATTTCAGAGTATTTTGCACTTGCAACACCATAGAAAAGTACCCCTTTCGGTTTATGTACTCTTTAGCCAGGTGGTCTGGTGCCAAGATAGGGATGTGTGTTCTGTCTATCGCCCCACCACAGGTAGGGAACCCCAGTGTGGCAAAACCATCCACTATGTCCTGCACCTTGCCCAGAGTCACTACCCTTCTTTGCAGAAGTCAGTTAATGGCCCTGCAAACTTGGATCACAACAGACCCCATGGTAGATTTACCCACTCTAAATTGATGCCCCACAGACCAGTAGCAGTCTGGCATTGCAAGCTTCCACAGAGCTATCACCACTCGCTTCTCCACTATCAGAGCAGCTCTGAGTTTAGTATAGCTGCACTTCAGGGCTGGGGAAAGCATTTCACACAGTTCCTGGAAAGTGGCCTTACACATTCGAAAGTTCTGCAGCCACTGCTAGTCATCCGATAGCTGCATAACAATGCAGTCCCACCAGTCAGTGGTCGTTTCCCAGGCCCAGACGTGGCACTCAACCATGTCAGGGTGATGAATGACTGTTGCCAGCAACTGCAAATTGCTCTGCTCTGTGCCTCCTGGCAGGGCTGCTTGCACAACATCATCATTCCATGCGGCAGCTCCTGTATTGGCTGTGTAAATACTGCAGGATAAGGCGTGAGGTGTTTGTAATGCTCACAACAGTGTACAGCTGAGCGGGGTTCATGCTTATGGTGCTATAGCAGCTGCGCAGGTAACCCAGGCTTACCAAAAAAGGGGGAGGGGGGGGAGAGAAAAAAGGCCTTGGTTTGTCTGCTGTAGATTGGAGGGGAAAAGGGAGGGAAGTGCATCATGGGAGGCTAATACCATGCTTCCATAACCACCCCCTGCAAATGATTTGGTCCCAACCCAAAATTCCACTTGGCTACATGAACTGTGGGATAGCTACCCACAGTGCAGTGCTCTGTGTGGCAATACATGCCCTGCTAGCGAGGATGCACTCCTCTGACACAATGAGGATACGCAAGACTGACTTGCTTAAATCAGAGGCTCGAAGTCGACTTACATAAAGTCAACTTAACTTTGTAGTGTAGACATGGCCTAACTATAGGGATAGTTAAGGACTGAACAGGCTTCCAAGGGAAGTTTTGGAATCCCCATCATTGGAGGATATTAAGAACAGGATAGACAAACTGTCAGAGATGGTCTATGTCTGTGGCTCTCAACCTTTCCAGACTACTGTACCCCTTTCAAGAGTCTGATTTGTCTTGTGTAACCCCAAGTTTCACCTCACTTAAAGACTACTTGCTTACAAAATCAGACAAAAATACAAAAGTGTCACAGCACAGTAGCACTGAAAAATTGCTTACATACTCATCATATAATTATAAATCAACTGGAATATAAATACTGTACTTACATTTCAGTATATAGAGCAGAGAATAAACAAGTCATTCTCTGTATGACATTTTAGTTTGTACTGACTTCGCTAGTGCTTTTTATGGAGCCGGTTGTAAAACTAGGCAAATATCTAGATGAGTTGATGTATCCCCTGGAAGATCTACGTGTACCCCCAGGGGTACGTGTATCCCTGGTTGAGAACTACTGCTCTAAGTTTACCTGGTCCTGCCTCACAGCAGAGAGCTGGATTAGATGCCCCCTTTAAGTCCCCTCCAGCCCTACAATTCTATGAGACAAAACGAAGATGGGTACAGACCAACAGGAGAGTACAAGGAAACAGTGAGACAACATTGGCAATAGGTAGCAGTCGCAACACACCAGTAGCCTAATGGTCAAGTTTTTTGCAGGCCTCGCAGCATAGGAGAGTTTTCAGGAGGGAGCTGAAGGAGGTTAGGGAGGTAGCTTTGTGGATGTTCACAGGGAGCTCCTCCCATGTTTGAGGGGCAGCCAAGGAGAAACCAGGAAGGGACTTATTTGAAAGTTTAACGACTGGGCAGCACAGGCTGACATGATGGGCCAATCGGAGGCAAGCACTGACAGCTCAATAGCAAATGACAGATGATAGGCAGGGTGGGGACTGACTATTTCCCCCCACCCTGTCAGATGGGGATAAACACAGCCTGTCTTGCATAGGCCCCAATAAAGGACCACCCCCTGGCAACTCAAAGATGGCACCTATGCAGCAACACAGCGAGCTGGGGGCCCCCATTTGAAAAGCAGCACTCTTCTTTAGAAAGAATTTGAACATGCTGTGAGCAAACATGGATTACTGCTCTAGCCATTGTTCTGCAAATGCAATCCACCTGTGCATTCAACACCCAGACGTTGAAGAGAGCCCGGAAGCACCTATTAATTGCTTCAGCGTTATCAGTTAGGTTAGTGCAGCACAAAGCTACCTCTGAAATGTATTAATACCCAAAAGAGGATGAATACATCAAGAACTACAGGAGATTTTCCAGAGTTACAGTCCCAGGTTGGGAGAGAAAGTTCACATGATCACTGGGGAAATATGGAGTCTTGCAAGCTAATGATGCTGGATCATGATGCAACTGTTGAGTCAGGTAAAAGGGCTTCCCACGCACACCCAGTCACACACTAACCGGAATTACTCAAAACCTTCCCAGAAGATGCTGTTCTTACTGGATGTGGCTCTAGCCTTTGAGGGTGCTGTCCAAACATGTTCAGACACCCCATCAACATGACAGGATACTCATCAGAAAGCAAGCTAGCTATTTGCCAACGTGAGCCTAGCTATATTGCTGCAGTTCACTGACATTGCCAGAGTGTGAATATCTCAGAGGCCACAGGAGGTTTTTAACTTCAAACCAGAGCTCTGATAACACACCTCCCGTTGGAGGAAGGACACTAACGTGGAGTGTTATGGAAAGGGAGGAAGAGAGCTAGATGTTTGAGTATAAAGGGCCAGCGTCTTCAGTTCATGTAAGCTAGAGACGCTCAACTGGAGTCACTGGAGTTACACCAGCTGAGGATATGGCTCAGAGTAGAAGACAGTTGAGTTAACAGGGGTACAAATTCACTGTACGTCTAAAAAACAGGGCAGATTTTCCAGAAAGCAAGAGGAGACACTGAGGACAAAAGTCAAGGAAGAAGGGATAGTGCTGCGAAAGTAATATGGCAGGAAAGATATCAGAAGTGGGGTAAATGCTGTGGATGGAGGAAGAGTTTTTACAGAAGAAATTGAGACATTAATAATCACCCTAGACCAAGACAGAAGCTTTTGACCGAATGTTCTGACCAGCCTTGTGGTAGGCTGAATGATGCCAGCAGTTATTGCTACCCTAATGAAGGTGTTAGTCGTTATTAACTGATCGTAATTAACATCGTAATTGCTGATGCCTGGCTAGGGCCTGAACATACAAACGCATCTATGACATTTCGGGTCACAACATTAGAGCCAAGTTCTTTCTATCCCATCCTTCACTTCATGCAGCCTCCCTGTGAAGTCAGAGCTGCACAGAGGTGCGAGAGCAGAAATCAACCAGGCACCAAGAATTTATCATCTAGAGCGGGAATGGCTCTCAGATAGGAATGGGGGAAAACTTGCTTAAGAAAGTAGCTGGATGGGAACTGAATGTTAACATATTATATGGGTGATGCTTTTGTTTTAGACTG